CCTCGTAACCTCTATTACTACGCTACTGCGCAACATTTGGATGCAAGAGCGCATTCCTTCATCTTGGGGCGAATTACTGATCGTTCCCATTCTCAAGAAAGTATCTCGTAACGATTGCGAAAACCAAAGCGGGATCAGTTCAATCACGATCGTCACCAAAGGGCTGGCTTCGGTTTTACTTCGACGTCGCAATGTTCCTCGACCTGAAAGGAGCCTTCGACTAAGTTGACCGCGAAGCTCTGATGGGCTCTCTTCTTCCAAAAGGAATGCCCCAGAAGTAAGTTAACCTGCTGAGGTGACTGTACTTATAGACCTCCGGTCGTAATGTAATTAGGCCGTTCGTCACCAGCAGCGGTGTCCGTCACGGATGACCTTTACCGCCGATCCCGTTCAATTTCGTCGTAGACGAAACACTGGAGAACGCACTAAGTGGACTCCAAAACGTAGGCACTGAGTGGGCAGCTCGAGAAAAGCTGTGACTTGGAGTACGCCTATGACATTGTCTGCCTGTTGGAATGCACGGGGGACGGGCAAAGCGCACTTGATAGACTGACAAATGCTGTTGCCACTCTGGGTATGTGCTTTGCACCTTCAAAGCGCTGCTGCAGGACTAGATTTAGTCTACACCCGATCTGAAACAAAATGATCAGGAAACAGTTATGGCAGATTACTTTTCTAACTTAGGTAGTTGCGTGACCAATGACGGTAGTGCAGCAAAGGAAAAAGCCGCCCGCATTTCCAAGGTTTGAGCAGCACACGCAAGACTGAAACACCTTTGGCATAGACGCGACGTTTAACTGAAGTTGAAAGGCCGTGATACCGTCCGTTCAGTCCTGCTTTATGGTTGTGAGATCCTGAGTTTACGAGTAGATATGCATGTTTACGATCATCGGCACTTATGTAGTTTATCCCACTTGGGAAGGAGCGAGCGGGTTAGTAACCTGAAGGTAATCCATTGTGCGCTTGGGAATCTATCGGTTATAAACCTGCTAGCACATCGAATTCAGATTAGCAAACTTCGCTGTCTAGGGCACATACTGCGTATGTCTAGCTTTCGTCTGCCGCAACCGCGCTTTATTGGCTCCTGATTGGCGGAAACCATGTGGAGGTCAACAGATGACGAGGAGACGGGGAATGAAGAAATGCACAGTAGGTGTCACGCACCTTCCATTTTGGGGTCTGAAAGACTCCGCAACTGGTCGGTTGGAGACATTGAAGGACCAACAGCACTGGCGCTCTTACTGTCACTTCTTAGCAGGCCAGAATACTTGTGTAGTCTGTGTTGACCATAGAATTTCAACATCCCCCTCCCATCCCTGTCCACTTTAAATATTACCAATAACCTTGTATGCACTGAGTTTGGCGGTGAACAGTGAAGTTCGCTTCACTGTATTACTCTGTACGATAATGGTGATGTAAGTGTCGCTGGAAGTCGGAAGGTTTCGATCGCATCCGGCACGTAGGTCAGCTAGCTGAATTACCCAAGTTTGGTTTCGCCTCGAAAATCATGCCCTGGACAGCAAGCTATCTATCCTACCGTAGCATCACAACTCGATTAGATGGGGCTGTCTCGTTTCGTGGCCATGAATTATGGTTCTTACTCCGACGCTCACAAGTAGCCTTTCTTCGACTTCGAACATCATGCGAGCCTCCGACGCTGCCCTACTTCTCACGTACCGCGAACTCCAGCATTAGCGATGGTCGCTTGCTTCCTAATATTCCTCTAAGTTCCGACCTTGGCTGTATATTTTCATGGAACTGTCGTAAATTTTTTAACGCTAGTCTAACCTCCCTGAAATCCACCTCGTGAACATGAATCCTCTCTTAAATAAAATTAGACTCAGAAATTCTGAGTTCAACAGATTCATGCAGCCCTTCTGGAAGATACTTATCATATCTTAAACAGTCACTATATAACTCTCTCCCGTGAGCGCAGAATGGGCTTCTTCTTCTGCAAGACTTTTCGTTACCGCCATTCACCTCTTCTCGCTTAACAAGCCCAGACTGGTCCTACAAAAGAGAGCATCACAGTGGTGTGGGATGAAGCTTCGTCCACCTCTATCAATTCTTAGTGAGGCCAATCTTTCCCTTGACGAACTGTTCCTAACATGTGACTGGGGGGGGCACTTGCTCACTATCAACATCGTATAGCGTAATGCAGTGAAGTGAAATTCACTGAACGCTGCCTAACTCAATGCTTAAAATATAAGTGGGAATGTGTAAGGGAGACAAGGATTGGGTCTATTTTTAGGGATGAGAAGTAAACCTCTATGCTCAACACAGATTACCCAGTGCATACATACAATTTCAAGCATCTTGGTCCGATAAGAGCTGACATGATTGCCATTGCTGTCGGTTCGCAGCCATGATTCTCGGTTTCGGAGTATCTTTGGACCCCATCCCGGGAGATGAGAGACACCTGGTCAACCTAATCGCTGTGCAATCGTTTATGCCTCGTCTCCACGTCATTTGTTGATCTCCATGTGGCTTTCTCCAGCCTGTGGCAGCCACTGTAAACAAGGCGCTAGCTCACCGTTGCTTCGTCGTCCTTGTTCCACCAAACTCATCTAGTCTGTGCACCCCGCACTCATTCTTTCTCGTAGGTCCCGTACACAAGCGGCCTGTTACCCATTTGAAGTGAATTTCCCTAGGTATCGTATCTCGAACCTTCAGTCATCCTGCTCCCAAGAAACCAACAACTATGGGTATCCTCTCTTGGTCTTCCCACAGACAACTTCACCATTACACACCGAACCAACAAACCAGTTCTTGCTTGAATGTTCCCTTCACCGCCCCATGCACATCCTTGGATTATGCAGTTTGCCTTCATCATTTTAATCACTTCTTTGTGGGAGTGAGAAACCGTTACTATATTTAGTACATATCGTACTATTAGATGACCAACGGTGAGGGTTGTCCTGCGATGGTCGGTCCACGGGGCAAACCCAATGCATTCAAGTGACTTATACTGTCACACAACAGACATCAATGACCAAACATTTGGGCTTCATGTGCAAGACAAGTTTGTTGACCAACCATCATAAGTATCTTCACGTTCAGATTAAAGAGCTGCAGCAACTGCAATTCCTGTGGGAATATATGACTAACAGGAGCCAGTTGCGAGTTCCCAGAGATGTCACGAATCAGGAAGTGAAGCTGAGGAAATGGAAGCGGACAAAACGATACGAAAGCCAAAGCAGCAGCCCACAGATCATCCTGCAAATTTAGGCAGGAAGTTCGCTATGGTTGAATCAGCTCGACGACCGACGCAAACACTTATCATGCTTACGCCTTCAAACATTGTTTGATAGCACGGACAATAAACCCAGCTGTGGGATCGTTCTCTCAACCACCTTGCTCTTTAACCAAACAACCATGTTAAAATCAACATCCCGGAGAGCAAGGGACATGTTTTCAACTCAAACAATTCACCCACTCCTTCATGTCTCGTCTCTATACCATGTTACCAAACGGTTTTCATCCTAGAACGAAGCTGTAAACACGCGTTACCGTGGACGATCAGCGGTTAACAGCAAAATGTGTACATCTATTCGGAATTCTTTATGGCAATATACTAACTAAGCTCCCAGTTGTTGCTCTCCAACGCATGAGTACCTAGCTCATTTCACACTGTTGTCAGGACGCTTGGTCATAATGGTTTGATACGGCAAAACTGAATCCACTTCGAAACTGTTGTCAACGACATCTATCAACAATGCCTGATACTCATGCATTTGTTTCTTAATTAGCGGATAACAGAAGAACTGACGAATTTGCGAAAACATTCAGCTGCTGCTGAATGTAAGCAAATTGCCATCACATAATTACATATCAGAACCATTGGAGCCATGCGGATGAATTTATTTCCGAATTTAATTATTTCCGAGACAGTTGCTCTGCCCTCTTTTCACGTCTCTTTTGTTCTTTTACAAGTTGATTCAGAACCTTCTGCTCTTCCATCATGAAGGCGCGGATCACGCTAGGAAATGTGATAGTAGTCATTGTATCTTACCGATTACGCACACATCTGTGGCACCGAGTACCGCCATAGGCACGATTCACAGTCTTCAGACGTTTGCTCATAGCAGTACGTTCCCTTGGACGAGACGGTTTTATTCCGGGAAGTTTTGTTTTACAATCACCGCATTTTGGGAAAGTACCACGTTTTTTCACGTAGATGTATACGACGCGACCACCCGGAGTTTTGACCCTGAAAAAATGGAAGTGGTTGGGTTCCCGAATGAATCAGATTGAAATATCGGAAAAGTCTATCAGAAAACAGAGAAAATGTACGTCCCTAAGATTACCACGATTCTCTCGTGGTCAGTACGGGACGATCAATATACCCTACCACAAACAGTAGGATCGATGCAAAGTGTTTTACATCGATTCTGTAGGGACAATAACACTCAAGGAACATCAGTCAGCAGCCATGTTAACAGTCTGAAATCCAACACCAATTCCGATCAGAGGAAAACTAGGCATACGTTGATTAAGATTGGGAAACAGCACATCCGAAACGGAACTCTAACGGAAGACAAACATTCCGTAGGGCAATGACAATAACCGGTTCACGATTATGGCTGGTGTGATCCGCAAACCGAAAAAGCTTGCTCAGTTGTCTGTTGACCATAGTGGTTCACCTTCTCAAAGTAGGTCCAATCCGTGTTCACCTTAAATTCTCCGACTAACCTTGTATGCGTTGCGAGTTTGGCGATGATCAGTGAAGTTCGCCTCACTGCATTTCGCCGTACGATGATGATGCTGTCATTTTAGAAAATGAACGTGACAAAGATGAACTTTGCAACTATCCGGTAGAGCTTACCCACCCTTACACGACGAGCACCGCACCAAAACTAGTGACACTTCACATGACCGGCCAATGAGTTCCTTCACCGAATGAAACGCACCTATACGACATTGGCTTGTTCACTTACTCCAAGTTATGGTTCTCTTGAGTACCACGGTTTGTGCAGGGACCATATGGATATATTACTAGCTTTCACCAAGGGGAGTTGGTTAATGAAACTCGCATTCCAGACCAACCAGGTGAGAAACAGAAACCCTTTGTTAAGTGTCCGGGAACCTCAGTGAGAAGCGAAGTATGCGACAGCTTTAACCTCGTGGGCAGTGACGAACTATCTCGTCTCAAGGAAATGCCTTGTTTACGAACCGCAGCGCTGATTATTGAGATCAGACATTTAATGAGTACGGGTTCGAAGGAAAAAGCGTGTCAAAATAAATGCTACCCGCTAAGTGCATGATAAACGGCACTCTGAACGGGCTTTATTATCATACGACCTGATCTGTGAAGTCACGCGGTGACAGCACGGTAACTGATATTAGCTTTTCGCCGACATGTGCATCTGATGTACATCTGTTTCTACGCCTAACGAACACGATAGAGATAGGCTGGAAAGAACACGGGAATTCAGAACTCGGAAAGAATAGACATGGAGCTCAGGAATGCGAAACAGTTTTGACATGGAGGCAAGGGAACAATCATTCCGAGAGCTACGACCAAAACTCGAATCAGCGGCGATTGCGGCTCGTTATCACACAATATACTACGGCAAAGAAGTAGTGAACGTTGAAAATACCTTAAGAATACGCAAATCGAGGACTTACTTCTTCCGTTTGTTGGAATTAGTGTTGTAAGACAAACGCCGCCGTAGCGTGAGGCGCTGCATGTTTTTCGTGAGTGCAAGGCCGTCAGCGCTCAAGTGTACGCTAAAACAAATTAGAACAGTTCAGAGCATACTTCATCGACAGTCGCCCCCAGGGAAACCATCTCATTACATTGTCTAGCCCAATGACTTTCACATGAATTTTTTTGTCGTGAAAGGTATCATACAAAAATCTAAAAGTGGTACAAGGGTACGTACCCCGCGCGCGGTTGGAATTTTAACGTGCTCTCTGCCATAACCTGCTTTTACTAAAAAAAAAGTGGAATATCTACCGATATTTCACT